AGGCACACCAACTTGCTTTGAAGTCAGATTTTCAAGAGTCTGAGAACCGCTTTTGTCAGATATTGTTTGATTATTTTTATCCAAGGTTCATGTATTTTGGACTCAGTGATCCTTATGGGTCCCTTCCAACTCAGGATATTCTACAATTCTGTGATTTTTTGAGAAGTTCTCTAGCTCTGGTTCTGTTTCAGGCCTAGATTAGAAGAAGAAAAGGGCTTTGATTCCTTCTCATCTTCTCTTTCTACAGCTAATAAGGTGATCTTCTCACTCCTCAAAAAATGGTATATCTTATTTGAAGCTCCTTAAAGCTTATGTGGGACTGTTTGTGTCTGAGTACATGTTGATCACTGAATTTTGATGCAATTGCTACAGACTGGCAGGAATATCATGGTCATTTTTCTTCCAAGGGATTGATTTAGCTAATTCAAGTCTTGACTTTGAAAAAAACCCAAACAGATAAAAACCAATATTTAAGCAGTCACTTGATTTTCCTCAATATTTACTCATTTTCTGGGTGACAGATCAAGGCCTGGAGATTTACAGGAGCTGGAAGAAAAGATGAGTCCTCTTACTAGTGAGTTTTGTTGTAAAAGGGAACATCACTTGATGATATATTGGCAGTTTGGATGCTATCCACAGTCATGATGGTCTTGGAAGAGAAATAAAAATCTTATGTGTGGGAGCCAAAGGCACATGGCCTTTGTGGACAGGACAAAAGAAAAGGGCCATAAACTTGAGTATAGGAAGTTCTGCACCAAAAGCTTTGCCTTTCACTCTGAAGTTGGTGTGGTAAAGAAATATTATCCAAAAAAGTATATTCAGTTATGAATTTCTGATACGACAAGTTAGTCTTTGCAGCAAGGAAAGCACCTATACATACTGTGACGTAAGCAATTCTTACTAGAAGAGCTTTTAAGGAGCTTCAGAATAATTAAAAGATACTTCTGAATTTTGGAATACATTTTACTAAAAATAAACGTAAATAAAATTCCTTCTCTTCTTGTTCCGGTCTGAGTATATACCGACCATAATTTGCAGACAATCTGGCAAAACCCGCATAGCATGCAGGATCTAGCCTGTGTATTTTGCTTAGAAAAAGAAGATAAAGACTGTTCAGTAAACTAGATGCTGTTGCCCTTGGTTTTCTGTTCCGGTCTAGCGCAGATGAAATAAAAAAATGGCCTACCACAACATTTCTCTGTATTAGTTCATCAGATTACTGCTTAATAGAAATAGCAACAGTTGATGCATAGAATGCTTCATGTACAGCATTATTAGCAGTTCTGTAAATTCACTCTTGCACTCTTGCACAAAACACTTTTCCCGGTTTCCCTGAGACCAAACGTACTCTGTAATTGTAGATTCATATACTTGAATGCATATTGATAACACACTTAAATACATGGGCTGTATAAATCTGAACATAATTGTTCACTGGTATGGTGAATATAAATTCTTTATCTAAGGAAAAAATCTATATTATAATGAAAAATATCAGAACTCCTAGCCATGGTATTTGTGAATAGTAACATAGTATAAAACTACTGGGAATATGCTCCTGCTTAACAAATAATCCATTCTCAAAGGTTTAGTGAAGGTAAAATGACTTAGTTGTCTGGTGTGATTTTTGTCTCTATCTTGTATTGCACTTTTTGTTGTCTGTCTTTTTCTGTGGTATAAAGCCGATTTAGCATGTAAAGTTTATTTATCCTTTTTATGAGAGCATGATTTATGCTGTGATAATCATTCCCAAGATTAAATGTACTACTCCTAACAGTATAAGAAATCCTGCAATTGTTCTATTTTACCATATTGTAACATAATTTAGCAAATAAACATGCAATCCTTTCAATTGACTTCTGAAATATTTTTATACTGAAATGGTAACCAGCTGAAGTGTTAGAAACACTTCTGCCTCATACAGCATATGACGGGCAGCCCCAATAAAGTCAGGCAGAAAATGTTAAGAAAAGTATGGTTTGGTTTGCAGTAGCTCTTTCTAAAACCCCAAGAACAAGCATTAGTAAACCAGTACTATTTTTTATTTTATTTTATTATCAAGCCTGACAGTACGCAGAGGATAAAACTTTGGATAAAACTGACAGTTGTCACTGTCCCTTTGCAATTAGCAAATGCAAATGAAGTATTATTTCCAGCCATGCTGGAAGGCACTGCATCCCCAGAAGTGTTAAAGGGTCTTGGATGCAGGGCAAGATTTTGCCCTTGTTTGTTGTGAGGCTAGTTTCAACTGGTGCTTTTTGGCTTCAAATTCTCTCCTCCTGACAAAAACTGGAGTTCTGCCTTTACAAGGAGCAGATGGCTGATGGAAACCCTTGCAGCTCCTGGCAAACCCTGAAGCTTCTCAGTAGCTATTAAAACTTTTTTGTTACAGTTAAATGACAACGAAATGTCCAACCATAATTACATTTTTAATGGAATTAGACAAACATTTGAACTTGCTATATTTATGTGTATATGTATATATGTCTATTTCATGCCTATGTCTTACTACATTAGTGTGATAAAGCCTTTAAACTATTTTGCATTTCTTTGCTGTTGCCACTGTGGTAGATACCCTGATATAACTTTACTGAAATAAAAACTGAAAATACAAGGACAGACCATATGATAAATTTCATTCTTGTTTATCCTGGATGATTTCCAGGCAGCAGATTTTTGTCAAACTGTGGTATTTTAATGATGAAAAAAAAACCTAATGCTTTCAGAATAAATCAGTTATTTGCATGAAGTTCTCAGTTCTTGAAAGAAGCTGTCTGAGTCTAAGGGAATGATGCGCTGAACTGTTAGAGAGGATAAGGCTTATTTTTTCCTTTAGTTTCAGTAGCTCTTGGTGTCAGGTTATGTATATGAAATCCAGTGTGCTTGTCGACTGCCTCAGCTTCTGCATGTATCAGAGTAACTGCAGATGCAGAAGAGTGCATTAATATAGAAGTTCATTGGAAGTGCTTCTTTACTGGAGTTCTCCAAGGTGAACAGCAAGTATGCCAGTGATAGAAAGCTGGGAGGAGTGGCTGACACACCTTAAGAATGTGTTGCCTTTCAGCTAGACCTGGACAGACTGGAGAGCTGGGAAGCAATAAACCAGATGGGCTTTAAAAAAAGCAAATACAGAGTCTTGCACATGGGAAGGAATAACTGCAAGTAACAGTACAGGTTGGGACACGACCTGCTGGAGAGGAGGTCTGTGGAGAAGGACCTGGAGGTCCTGGTGGACAGGAGGTTGGCCATGAGCCAGCAGTGTGCCCTGGTGGCCAAGAAGGCCAATGGGATCCTGGGGTGCATTAAAAGGAGCGTGGCCAGCAGGTCGAGGGAGGTGACACTCCCCCTCTACTCTGCTTTGTTCAGGCCTCACCTGGGGTACTGTATCCAGTTCTGGGCTCTCTGATACAAAAAAGACAGGGATCTCCTGGAGAGAGTCCAGCAAAGGGCCACAAAGATGATAAAGGGCCTGGAGCATCTCCGCCGTGAGGAAAGGCTGAGTGAACTGGGTCTGTTCAGCCTTGAGAAAAGAAGACCTAGAGGGGATCTTATTAATGTTTATAAAAATCTCATGTGTGGGAGCCAAAGGGACATGGCCAACATCTTTTTCAGTAGTCTGTGGGGACAAGACAAGGGAAAATGGCCATAAACTGGAGCATAAGAATTTCTGCACCGATATATGAAGGAACTTCTTCATGGTGAGGGTGACAGAGCACTGGAACAGGCTGTCCAGGGAGGTTGTGGATTTGCCTTCTCTGGAGATGTTCAAGACCCATCTGGATACCCTGTGCAGCCTGCCGTAAAGGGGCCTGCTTTGCAGGGGGGCTGGACTCGACAATCTCTAGAGGCCCCTTCTAACCTTTACAGTTCTGTGATTCTGTGAAGTTTACTAGCCTATATAGATAGAAGCATTAACATTTCTGCAGAAAACCCACCGGGACCAAGTTTAAGCTCTGACAGATGTCAAACCGTTTCATTTATTTGTTCACAGTTTACTGTCTAAAGACTGAGAATGGTATATTTTTTTAAGTGTATAGGGAAGTGACAGAGATAAAGGTTGCATTTCAAGACGAGTGTTTGTCTGGAGAATTGGAGTGATGAGGAGAGAAAAAAGGAATTATAAGGACCTTGCAAGAGTGTGTGTTGTGCAGGGCAAAGGCAGGCTTGGGAAGAAAAAGGTTTCTATTGGTGATCCAGAGACTAAGGTTGCTTCAGTCCAGGGAGCTGCTGAAGATTGATGATCTTCAAAGAGACTTGATGAAAGGAACAGCTGCTTTCTTCATTTTTACTTGCAGAGAAGTCTAGTATAATCTTGCTAGTCTTCACTGTAGATTTTATGGAGGATTGATACGGTCTGAGAAGCTGGGACAATACTAAGTAAAGGGCAGTTGTAGGTTTAGGTGACTGTATTTGTATCCTTGCTCTTCTTTTAATAACTTGATTTTAACACTGTTCACTTTATAGATTGAGGTGCTATTTGGAGGGGATTAATTTAAAAAAGAGACACTGTGTTAACTATCATAACTGTCTCTTTTTCTTATACATGTAATTGTCTATGTTTATTATCCTACCTATATTTATATACAGTGATACTATTCATGGTTATAAGGATTAGTTCTAGTGATGTTTGAACTTTTTTTTTTTACTGAGGCCAGTTCTTTCTCACTTTTATTGAACAATATCTTATTGTGTGACTGTTCCCGTTTATTCTACCTAAATTACTTAGGGATTGTATATTCATGGACCAAAGTTATTTGTCTCAATTTTTTTTCAGAATAATTTTTTTGTATTTATTGATAAAAGAATTCTCTTTCATGATTGATTGCTAGGTAGTAGTATTGGAAGTATGGTGTACATCTCACTCTAACCCACAAGTCTGATGCTGTTTAGAATTCTTATCCAAGGAAAATCAAAGGTTAGTGAAGTTGAAAAAACAAATACTTCTTCCTGGGACTTCACTGGGGTTATTTTAATTGTTAATATTTCTTTTCTTTTCCTAGGCAATGTTCAGTCTCTGCATGGTTGAAAGTGAAGCTGACGAGGTGAATCTGCATGGCGTCACAAGCCTAGGTTTAAAACAAGCCCTGGACTTTGCATATACTGGACAGGTACTGTACAGCTCTTTAAATTGAGAGAAATTAAAACAATTTGCAATAAAAAGAGAAGACTGCCCTTAGAGAAGTACTGTTCTTGTGCATTCCCCAGTGCAAGGTCTTTTGACTTAACAGATCTTACTTAGGCTATATTGTTTATGTGAGTAGTTTGTTTGTTGTTGTTCTTCCCCCCCACCCATAGAGGAATTTTCCAATAAAAACATGTTTATTGTATTATATCCATTGCATTGTATCCAAGCAGTGAACCATATATGGCTTATATGCCCTTTTTATAGTGGTCTGATTGTTCATAAAAATTTGATGTGAGTTGATCCATGTGCTAAATGAGAGAGAAAAAAATAAAGTAGGCATTTTTCTAATAATAAATATTTATGAACCTTTGCTGGGCTTGTACAGTCGAGGGGAAATGCGGTCTTTTACTTTCTGGGAAGATATAATCCAGTTATCTTTCTAAATGCGTATAGGTACTGTGCATCTTTCTTTGTTGCAATTTTTATGAGAGCAGATTGTATATCATATTATGTTACTAGTGTATCGGTGTAAATGAAACTTTGGAGAATTGGAGAATGTGAAGTGATGCTCCTATTTCTACTCCTACTTGACTCCTCTTACACCCACCAAAAATAACCCCCAAAAGCAAAGAAACATTTCAAACAAAGCAAACAACAACAGCAAAAACCTGCAATAAAAGTACCCAGTGCATTTATATGTCCTGCCATATCTATTCTTTGCATTCCTTGTCAGTGTTTCTCTATAATTTCATCTCAGTTCAGTTCAGTGAACTAAGAGCTTCTTATACCATTGGAGATATTTTTGCTTTGTACTTAAACATTCTAGAAAACGGAAGTATTTCTGGAATTATTGCAAAAACAATTTAATTTATGAATTAATTTTGAAAAGAAGCTTAAATCCATTTCTGTGTTGTACTGTGGTGTATATAGTCATTAATTTTTCAAGGGGAATTAAATAGAGGTAAAGAATTTATAATTTATTACCAGAATACAGATAATAGTTTGCCATTAGCTTTAGAGACTAACTCTTGAGATTTCTGTGTTTCGTGCTAGGAAAACAAAACTTTATTGAATAAGCTTTATTTATTTTACTATATTGAATAAGCTTTTTCTTTGTATTAAAAAAAAAAAAAAAGAGAGAGACCATGCTATGTTACTGAATTGGCTGAAGTTACCAGTTATATGTACGGTTTTTGTTATTTCAGTTGAAAGCTGTGACAGGTAAGATTGTTTCTTGTATTGTGGAGAATCTGTGCCATCCTCAAAGTTATTTGAGATATAGATTTAGTATAGTGAAAGTAGAACTCTTGTTGCTAAACAAATCTAAAAGATCAAAACCAATTTTGAAAACGTGCTATAATGTACTGATTTTTTCTATCTGCTGTGAACAGAACAGTCCTCTAACTTTCATCAGAATTCAAAGTCTAGTAAAACTATGTAAAATAAATGACTGTGATTGGATGAGTTTGTTTATTATAAGACAATAGTCTAGCCCACCTTACTTCTGGGGCAGTATCCTCAGCTCCCTAGTACTTAAAATGCTTCCTATGTTTGAGCCTATAGACATTTCTGAGTCTTTCATTTTTAAGTGCAATCTACTTTCAATAAATTATTTGGCATCTTGAGTTAAATATAGATTTGCCTGTATATACAGTAGCTCACATTCATAAGAGTTTATAGGGCAACGTTTTATACTCTTATCAGCTCTATTGGATATGCTACTTTGAAGCACAGAGAAATTACAACAATTCTCAAGGAATTCTCTTAGAAAGATATTTTTGAAGTACAACACAGTGATAACGCAGATCAGTGAAAATGTAATATTGATTTTTTTCCCTTATGCCCTTGAAATTCTCTTCTTGTGCTTGGTTTATAAATATTGAGCATCGCTTATGTACTGACTCAGACTGACAAAACCTTGGTGAACATTTATGTTTCAAGGTACTGAGTGGGAATAATCCACAAAGATTATTAATAAATAGTTGGATTATTGCATGCTTATACCAAAGTTGTGAAACCAGACATTTTCAGTTTGAGTATGTGAACTGTTTCTGTTTCTGTTTTTGTTTCAAAGTATTTCTTAGTAAGCCAAAATTCATTCCTGCCAGGTACAATTTGATATTGCTCTGACATGTCAAGATATGATCAGATTTGCTTGTCAAAAAAAGAAAAAAAAAAAAAAAAAGGCTTTCAGTTTGAAAACCTTCAATCACTGCAAAAAAACCGCTGTGCAACTGACAGCAGTACAGTGACAGTAATAACCTATCCATGTCTCAACAGATAAATATTTAATTTCAGCTTTTCTCTACTTATTTTAAAAAATATTTTGCTAAACTTATATTCAGTTTGGATGTAACTTTAATGTAACTTTCTGTGTAAAATAGTGCATTAGAGACATCTGCTGGAAATATTCAATATTGCATGATGGTAATATTTGATGCCTATGGTTGTTTAAAATCATCAAAATTAACAAATTTAATTTTTAGCATGATATTGCAATCAGAAATGCAACTCTAACATCCTTATGTTATTATTTTTAAATTTGAAATGCTACCACAGACTTATAGTACTGATGTTATCACCCTGTCTGCTGAGGCAGACAGTGCCTTATTGTAATAACTGCTGTAAATCTTTTGCTTTTAGAAGAAAATTGATTTTTCAGTAGAAGGAAAGGTTGTGATAAGATGGAAGTTAAAGAATTTAAGAATTCCAATGGAATTAATCCATTATTATGGTCCCATATCATATAACAACAAAGAAATAAGTGTTGGTATAGAAATGAATAAAAAGTTACAAGAGGAAAATTTGATTTTCTTTCCTCAACAGTAAAGTTAAGGTGAAATACAGAACATAATTTCAGCAGAGTGCTCTTAGCATGTAGACTGTCAGTAATACTCTAATAGCGAAATCTTGGGCAAAAGTGACCTTTCCTCTTACTCAGCTGTTCAGCAGCAAAAATACAGTAGATTTATTTGGTGGGATATTTTCCCTTTGATAGGTTCTTTCCTGAGTGCTATATGTGAATGCAAAAGATGAAGGTTAAAAGTGCAGCTAATGGTTACTCCAGTAATGAATTTAATGATAACGTTTCATGTTTTCTGCATTAAGAGAGTTAGGAACCTCAAATCTATCTGCATTGTTTTCTCTTGCAAATCTACTGTGCCTGAATACAATACCTACAGTGATTAGCTTTCAGATTATGTCAGGACATCATTATTTTTCTTTTGGAATTATGCATCACCATCATAGCTGTCTTTTCTAATATGAGGTCCCAGTCATTTTTTTGTGTGCCCTTGTGGTCATGGCCATAACATCATCATGAAGGAATGTTACTCACATCCCTCTTTTACTTAGCAGTTGAATCTACAGTGCCCGATCTTCAAGAAGAAAGCTTTTGTGACAGACAGTAAAAGTATAATGTGCTTAATTCCTCCAGTCTTTTCAGGTGAGGCTAAAAATGAAGACATACTGAAGTATGAAGAAAAGTATGCCTGGTGGACTGGGCATTTTACCACGTACTCCATGTACTCACAATACAGTGAAAGGATTATTTCCCTGCTGTAGTTGGCCATGTCCTTTCTTCATAAAAGGGTACTAGGATCATTCTCTTTTTTACTTCAAGGTGGTAGTGATCTCAGTGATTAGATTACTCAACCTTTGTTCTCACAGGGCATTCTGCAAATATCAGATGTGCATTGGAAAGGGAGGTGGATGAAACATAAACAAGACAGTAAGTAATGTTTTAGATATTAATATTAGGGAACAGCTCTTGGAGCAGGGCTTGGAGTTCACAATTCCTTCTGTCTCAACCACTGGATAATGAGTAAGAGTCTAGGTTATAAAGTCACAAGCACTGTTGTCTGCTCTTTTTGTTGTTGTTTTTGAGTTTTTCTTCTTTGTAACCATAATCTCATTTGGAGAAAAGGAATCCAATTAAACCATGAACAAGCTGGTTTAGTTGGATGGCAAATCTCTCGTTATTACAAGAAAATATGCTTCTGGTCAGAAGAAAACCTTTGGACTTCTGAAAAGTTTCAGTGCTGAAGACAGAATCTTAGAAAGTGTAAATCTAGTAGGACTGAGTAAGTAGCTTAAACTGAAAATTTGAGGCTCCTCATTTTAGATGAGGCTCTTGCATTCCTCCTCAAATTTAGATCCTGCCAACAGCTTCATTTTTGTTGATATTTTATGTACATGATACCATCATTTGAATCATCTGATGGGCACTCTGCTGTTGTTTCTAGAAAGAAGGATAATGCAAGAACACTGCCATTAATTAGCAGTAGAGGACTGTGATCCAAATTCAATAAAAATAAAAATGCACATTTAGAGTCCTATATATACTGGAATGCTTTGCAGGCTTTGATCTCTTTTTGTAATTAAATTCTACTATATGTCTTTAATCCATGGTAATAAATAATATTTTGAATTTAGGTAGAATTTTGTTTGAGACATCAAAGCACATAGCAAAATCAAGCGATCACTGACTTTAATGTCTTTCCTCAAAAATAATTTTATTCTTTGATGCACATAACTTTCCAAAGGCCTCCTGGGAAAGCAGCATCTTAATGAGTCATAATATATGGTTCTCCTCCTGGCCAATTCCTTTTTTCTAACTGGCCATTTTCTGTTTTCTTTTTCTAAATCATAGTATTTTTTTTTCTGTATTAATAAAAAGTTACAAAATCATTCTAAATCACCAAAGGAAAAAGGAAGGAATCAGAGGGATAGCCCTGCTAGAAGGGCTGGTTTATCTTCAGCTCTTTCTCCAAAAACAAATTTTGGACTAGGTCATGCTATGTATCTTCTTAAAAAGCCCTAGTGCAGCTTTACATCCTTTCTACAGAATGAATGTTGAAATACTTCCATTTCTTGAAAACTACGTACAAAAACAAATTTTAAATTTTTCTTTTCTTACCTTATTTTTTTTCACATCACTTTTTTTGATACTTATGTAAAACGAAACATAGAAATTTTTATTTT